TGCCAACATACCGATAAATCAACAACATGATATGAACAACCAATTACTCAGACAGGAGGAAAACAATAATCACAACATATCTCTAAACAAAGAGATGTCAACACAAGAAATTAGTACCGGGTAAGGCTCTCAAAAATTTGAAAACTGGGAAATCTTCAGGAATGGATAGGATTCCAGCTGAAATGCTGAAGTTCAACACTCCACTGTTAATTACTGCACTTCAAAAATTATACAATCATATCCTACACACGAGATCATATCCAGATATGTGGAATAAAAACACCATTACTCCAATTCACAAGAAAAATGACCCACTGAATCCAGGAAACTATAGGGAGATTTCAACCAGTAGTGTCATTGGTAAGATCTTCGCTATGATACTTAATGGAAGAAACAACAAACATCTTGAAGACAACAACATTATACACAAGAATCAAACAGGTTTCAGAAAAAAACACAGGACCATAGATCATATTCTAACTTTACATACTATGGTAAAAAACATAAAAAAAACTGTTCTGCTGCTTTGTGGACCTAAAGAAGTGCTTTGATAGTATATGACAAACTGGTCGTTTATACAAATTGCAAATTAATGGCATTAATGGCTCATTATATAACATTATCAAAAGCATGTACTCAAATATTAAATTCCATGTCAAGCTTAATGACAAAATTACACCCGAATTTCAGACAGCCAATGGAGTCAAACAAGGATGCCTCCTTAGCCCCACTTTATTCAGTATTTTCATTAATGACCTTGTTGAAGTATTAAATAAGACTGCTACTGACCAACCTGAGCTAAATAAGATAAAAATATCTAGTTTATTATTTGCAGATGATATTGTTCTTACATCAACTTCCAAGGGTGGATTACAGTCATTACTTAATGCACTTCATAATTATACTACTGAATGGAGCTTGGAAGTCAACACCACTAAGACTAAGACCATGACATTTTCTAAAATACAGCAGAGATCTGATGATCCATTTTTTACTTATGGTGACATAACACTAAACCATACCAAGACATTCACATACTTGGGTGTGACATTAAACAGCAATGGCTCCCTAAACAAAACTATGGAGACACTCTCAGATAAGGCTAGAAAAGCAGAACGACTGATGGCTAATATTTATGATAATAATTTCAACAACTTTAAACTTAAGGCCAAACTTTTTGAAATGTTACAACTACCTATTTTACTATATGCATCTGAGTTATGGGGTATGTCGGTTAGGACAGAAAAGTGGGACACCACTGTTACTGAAAAATTTCACCTAAAATATTGCAGGCACATTTTTAATATTAATAACAGAAGTAGTACAATAGGCTGTAGGCTTGAAACTGGCAGGCTACCTTCAATTTCAAAGATTCAAATTGAAGCTGTCATGTACTACCAAAACATTAAAAACAATGGTCCAATTAATTTTACTTTCCATGCAGTTAAAGAACTTGAAAACAACTGCTATAAAGGATCATAGTTGGAAGACATTAACAAAATTAAAGACCTGTATAATATTGATATCCAGACTGTTTCTAGTAAGGTACTCTACCAGAAAATTAAAAACCATTATACTAACATGTGGATTAATAATATCAAGAGACCAGATGCCAAACTCAGATCTTATAGTCTACTTAAAAGTGATATTAGTCAAGCTAAATACTTACAA